ATCAAAAAACCTGAATGGTTTTGTGGTAATATCAATCTAAGGTTCCATAATGGTTCTGATGAAAGGCAAGTAAATGGATGAATGTTTGGAAACGAGCAATATCTTTTGGTAGAGCCTGTCATCAAGTAGGTGCTTAATGGCTATCTGCAAGAGGTTTATAGGAAAAAACACCCAGTATCACATATCAATTGAAGAAAGTAATATAAACATGAATAAAAAATCAACAATAGAAATTAAAACATGAATTTAATTCAAAAATCAAACATTACTTAAAATTTTGACAGAATTATATGTAATTTCTTAATATTCAATAAGCTGGTGATGTTTCAATGACAAGTTGTCATCTCATACTTTGACAGTCTTTTGTTTTCAAGATTTCATATCTATCGGTTGCTAAAATTTGTTGATTGGAACTTGAACCTCATTCGCTGTATCTGACGGTCTGTTACCCTATAGATGGAGAATAACGGACTGTTGTTGGAGAAATTGGGCCTTTGTCTGTCATTTCCGCCTGTCTGTCTGTTGGCCTGACTGACCTATAACTTGAGAGGTACCGCTCAAATTTTGATAAAATTTTTACAAATTGTTACGACTATACCAAGGACTGAAAAGCTTTATAGTTTTGCGGAATCGTTTTGATGGCGGCAGAGAAAAAGACCCAAAAAGGAAAAAAATCGATTAAATTTGATCATGTTTTTTTTTTAAAGCAGGTAAATAAATCTAGGTTGGGAGCTGTAGAAAGGTGGGGAGTTGCATAAATCAATTTTTTGTAAGTCTACGCACCTTTTAGACATACTTAGATTTCTCCTACCGGCCGCGTCTGCTTCTATGCCGGCACTACACATATTACTGCCGCGGGCTACCGGTAGGGCAGGGAAAGAAAGTCTGTGGACTGATTATTCGGACCCCGTGTAGACCTGTTTAGCTTTTCTCAGAGGGTCTAGTTTGTGCTGAACATAATTGTTCATGGACTCTTAACGGCGTTGCATTGGCGATACTTTTTAGAACTCTACACAGAAAGGCATCTAGGGTCTTATTGATTCGGTAAGCGGCATCTACATTTATTGCTGGTTATCGTGGTAGCACTCCTCAGTATTAAGGAATTATAAGGAATCATCTTGACTGTGTAGGTAGTCAAGTTGTATTTATTTGGGTAAAAGGCCATATTGACATACGAGAAAATTATGTTAAAGGGCATACATGATCACAGAATCAGCCATTATTTCAGGAGCTAGAGAAGAACCACTGTTGTTGATGATTCCTTAGCTTACACAAAACGAACGTAAATTTGAAATGCAAACTATTTTGAATAAAATAGGCATTTCACCAAAGTAATAGCAACTACTGTCGGCTATGTAAAACTGTTTCCACGTGAATTTCGCACGTTTTCCGTTTAAACATCAATAAAAAGTTCCCCGTTACATGAACTACAACAAAAATCAATCATCACATCAATAAAAAATTGAGATTGAGGTAACAATACATCTGTGAGGAAGTTGGCGTAGTAGCTGATCTCAATCATCTGTTCCTGGCATTCAATAGATATGAAACTGCTACAGATAATCTCATATTATTCGTGCTGCAACCATCAACTGCCACTGAACATCAATACATACAGTAGCACTTAAAAATAGAGTAGTCTGTCGTAGCGTAATACTAAAATTCTGCATGGAGCCTGGACTCAAGGTATATACTTTAGTTTCGTAGATTTTTGTGCAAAATGGTTTACGCCTGATGCCATTCCCTTCAAAAAAACACTGTGTCATCAGACGTTACTTTTTCGAAGTGCCACTGTTGCTGGCGAGCTTTGTGACTTCTGAAAGTAGCGAACTTATCCTACAAGAGACATGGTTTCAGCAGAACGGAACAACACGTCATGTAGCTAGAGAAACGATTAACGTTAAGAAGTGATGGAATGCATAATCAAAGGGGCTAAATTTTGCACAATTTCCATTTAAAAGTTACTGGACAAATAAGTCAGCTACATATAGGCCATCCTGTATTAATAGGTATGTTGAGAAGAGTAGAATGAGCCAAGCTCATACGAGTGCGTTTACATTAAATTTTTGTAGCCAAAATCGTGTAGTTTCAGTGCACAGTTTTGGCTCATTTGTCTACCACTGTGTAACAAGGTAACCCTGGATAGGTATTTATGTAGCCAAGCATCATGAGTGTACTCACTTTTCGCACCTGTGTTGCAATGTGAGTCGCCTATTTATTGTTACTAAACAGGCATTAGTTAAATAAGACAAAAAAACTGTTTATTAACCATACAGCGTATTAACAATTATACTGAGTGAGTTTGTAAGGCGAAAAATACGAAAAAGTACTTTTAAACAGAAGTAAGGGCAGAATGAATTCTACTCGGTTTTTCTGAATAGCTGTTGTGATCCGTGCAGATTCTTGAATGAAAGCACACCTAGTTGAGCACGATATAGAAATTACTGTTACTATATCATGGTCACTAGAATTATCCAAAAAAAAGATTTACTTTATAATTTATATAATAATATATAATATAATAATATAATTTAATTTATAACTGTAAAATGGACACGTAAAATTACTGTTTGTAACGTGGAGCTAAATACCTTTCCTAAGGACTTCGATATAAATTAGATAAGACTCAAAGTGAAGGCGTCAGTTGGACCTTTTCAGTATCCATCAATAACTTTGGTTTATCTCCAATACTTTTCATTTTTCATTGTCGTTGTTAGGTACACAATCCTGTTAACAAACCTTCGGATTAAGCGCTCAAAGCAACAAAAAGTGAACTGAAATAAATCAATACTGCGTTACAACGGTCCAGATACCTAACGTTGACGTGTAAGCCTTTTCGCAACGCCGACGACTGTAATATATTAACACTTATCGATCAATTATTCTATTTAAACGGCTGTTTGCATTCTACAGAAACCTTCACCATTTTAGACAAATTTCTGGAACACTAGGACTGTATGGAACCCACGCACTTTCATATGTTTTCGCAGAAAAGTATGAACTTCATAAAATGTGTCAAAATGGTACAATAAATGTTCATCCTGACTACAGATTAAGTATATGATTTTTGAGACAAGCAAATCATAGTGTTGCTCTTTCTATCTAGACTGAATTCGTTGGTCGGAAATTAAAAGCCAAAGGCTTCATGTCAGTTATAAATTGTCTCATTTTAATTGAGCTTCTACAGATAATGCTAATGGCTTAATTGCAGGTATTCAGTACAGTGGCGACACACCTGGCTGCTACTTGGCCGAAAGGGCGGCTTAGATCCTTAGACCAACTCAGCCGACTACTCCTAACGTGTAATCGATCTTGAAGTTTGAGAGTTCTTTCCGACCCCAGTATCGTATCTGTTTTTTTGTGCCTTCTGCCCTTGAGCGTAATGTTCTGGCAATCCCGTTAAACGTCTCCTATCACATCTGACACCATCGCGTGTCCCGCAAGCAGGATAGTAATCTACGTTAACAGCTAATTCTAATTTTTCGGGCCATTTCGTTAATTAGAACCGACAGAATCGGTTGCAATTTCACGCCGCGATTGCTGGCGAGATCGTTTTTCAGGTAGTTTCCAAGTAGCTATTTCTTCGGCAAGCACAAATCCAAGTCTCGGAAGCGCTTCCGATTCCAATATCGATCAGTGGTGTTTTTTGACTCACATAGAGCAGACCATCTCTAAGTTGGATTCATGTTGGAATGCTGACAGATAAGGGAAACCAAAACCGTTTTCTGTCGAGATGATACGAAACGTAAAATCGAAACAAAAGGCAAGATGGCACGCCGCCATTATTATAATTGTTATCACTCAAGGTGATATAATTAGTATTACATCCGAGTTTATACTAACAATTTTCAATTTTTATTTCAAGTATTTACATGGTGCTCCGAAAATTGGGACTTTCGTTTATATAGCATATAGTTTAAGTAACAATCCTCCATAACGCGCGAGTGCCGTCAGTTCAAAGGGTTTCTTATAATACGCGGGAAGTAATCTTCAGGCATCAGTTCGTAAGAGGGATGCTCTCGATATCAATAAAGCTTCTGACGAGATGTGCAGCGAAGCTTGTTCCAGTTCGTTCGCGTCTCTTCCAGATATCTTACGAATCTGGCACTTTACCAGAAAAGTGGAAGATTGCTCATGACCAGCTCATACCAAAAGAGGGATCTAACGCCAACCTTTATATCCATATATCTACTTCGTGGGTACGTAGATGTACAGATCGTCTCCGTAAATATTTGTAGTTTTATATAGTTATAAGTGCCACTTTCGTCCAGATTTTTGTTGTGCAGTCAGATAAGTAGATTGATATTGCATTGCAAAAGTGTCATGTCCAGTTCTGCTGGGGTGATGATGTTGTGATTAATTATATGTATCACTCGAATTCTGAGGATAATTTGGTGCTAAAGTGACGAGCAGATAGCTGTTTATTTTTTTTTTGTGAACCAGTGGCGTACGCCCAGTTCCAATGGTGCAGGGAGCGGTATGTCGGGGAAAAATAAACCGCCAGACATAGAAAGAAGATGTGAAGTGTGTGATGAGGAGATCCGTAAAGGAGGTGCTAAGGTAATGTGTAGCAATGTAAGCTGCGGAATCACCCTCCATCAAAAGTGCTTTGCCTCAATTGCTAAGGTTATTAAGTTAGACAAAGCTGAATGGTTGTGCAAAAATTGTGACGAAGAAAGCGATTCTTCGATTAACACTGTAATAACATCTGATGGAGATTTGTCAAGGGAGTTAACTACGGTTAAACATGATGTGCAAATTTTGACTGACCTTGTGAATGAACTTAAACGTGCAAATGAGATTTTGTTGGCTAAAATTGAGCAACTAACAGTCAATAAGTCTCCCGGTGTACAAACACCTTATCTAATTAGGAATATATCTTATAGTCAAGCTGTTTCGACGAATGTGAAAAATGAGACCAAATCTGTATTGGTTATAACTTCAAAAAGTGATAAAGAAACAAACATGGATGTCTTAAAAAATATAAAGGCTAACGTTAATCCAGCAACTGAAAAAATTAGTATTAGCAGCACCAAACTTGTGAAACAGGGAATGCTCGTAAAATGTTCAAATGATGAATCTTTACAGAAACTAAAAGCAATAGTTGAGGAAAAATTCAGTCGTCAGTATAAAATAACTACACCTAAATCTTTCAAGCCCCGTGTCTTAGTTTCTGATGTGGATAAATCTCTTGATAACAATGATGATTTTATTCAGTCGTTGGTGCAAAACAATACATTTCTGGTTGATTGCGACATAAAGATAATAACTATGCTGAAGTTAAAATATTCTTTAAGTTATGTCATAGAAGTGGACCCGGAGGTAAGAAAAAGAATAATTTCTCAAGGCTGTTTGTACACGTCTTGGAGAAAATGTCACATCCGTGATCATATATCGATAATCAGGTGCTTCAATTGCTCTCGGTTTGGTCACCTAAAAAAAGATTGTAAGAGTAAACCCTTGTGTGCAACTTGTTCCAATGAACATGATGTTAAAACCTGCGAATCTAGTATTAAAAAATGCGTAAACTGTTCGGCATATAACGACTACATGCTGAGTCGTTCTAGAAACTATAAGCCTTCTGCTGTAGACCATGCATCATCAGATACCCAATGTCCATGCTTTTTAAGGAGACTAGCACAAATTAAATCCAGAATTGATTATGGCTAAATCAATAAAAAATATTTTAAAAATATGCCATTTAAATGTACGTTCTTTAACGGCTGACTTTAATGAATTCTCATCTCTTGTACGATGCAAGTTTGATATTGTAGCAGTCACTGAAACATGGCTCCATTCAAACATTGATAGCACTGCTGTCAGTATGCATGGGTATAGCTTCTTCCGTAAAGATCGGGGGAGTAGAGGGGGTGGCGTCGGTCTGTATGTTAAAGTCGGTTTTAATAGTAGCGTTATTCCAGTTGAGTTCTGTGATTTTGTAATTCCCCTGGAAATTTTATGCTGCAAATTTAAACTACTGGGAAAAAGTATGCTAATTGTTGTGGTATATCGGCCACCACATTGTTCTATATCTCAAGCTATCCAATCCTTAGAAAACTTGATCGCATTTTTCACACCCCAATATGATAGTATTGTATTTTTAGGAGATATGAACGTTGACTTGCTTGCGCATAATAATATCCTTAGCAGCTGTTTTGATTCTTTCAATTTCTTTCAAGTCATTAATGAGCCTACACGAGTTACAGCTTTCAGCTCCACATTAATTGACCCCATTTTTGTAAGTGACAGTACTATAGTAAAGAAGTCTGGGACACTTAATGCAGACTCGATTAGTGATCACCGACTTGTTTTCTGCGAGATCTCCATTAGTAGTAATAAAATAGAGCCCAAATTTGTAGCATATCGGGATCTCAAAAGCATTGATATCCCTAGTTTTAAGACGCAGATCGCTTCATTGCAGCTTGACGATATATATTACGTAGATGATGTTGATACTAAAGTCTCTATTTTTACTAACCGTCTTATGCATCTTTTTGATATTTACGCACCACTACGTACAGTGCGAGTCACAAAGCCTGCTGCACCCTGGCTAACTCCTAATTTAAAAATAATATTTCAACTAAGAGATGATGCATTAGCAGTATTTCAGAATAACAGATCTGCACAAAACTGGGAATACTACAAGGATTTGAGAAACTTTGCTCTAGCATCTCTGAGAAGAGAAAAAAAAGCATATATGTCTCGTTTCAGTAACTTAAACTCTAGTCACGCGTGGAAAGAGCTAAGGAGGATGGATGTGGTTGCACAAAAGCGTGTTGCGATACCGCCTAGTTTACTTGATCCTAACGATTTAAATAACTACTTTCTTTCAATTTTCCAGACAGCTGTAACTAATTCTAACTTGATTGATCGTGTTTCTAACAGCTACAGCAATAGGCGTTATATACCAAGTGCACCTCTATTCGTATTTAAACTGCTCACTCAGCAAGACATTCTTAACATAATTAGTAATATTAAGTCTACGGCCTGTGGTTCAGATGGTTTAAGTTTAAATATGGTTTGCTTATGTCTGCCCGAGATTATCGATTACATAACGCATGTTATTAATATCTGCCTTGAAAGTGGTTATTATCCAGCCAGCTGGAAAAATGCTATAATTATTCCACTAGCCAAAAACAATCGTCCAGAGCAACATTCTGATCTTAGACCAATCAGCCTGTTATGCTTTCTATCAAAAATACTAGAGAAAGCTGTCTACTCTCAACTGGTGGAGTTTTTTGAACAGAATAATTTATTTCCTCAATGTCAGTCGGGTTTCAGGTCTGGTCACAGCACGACCTCGTCGTTATTAAATCTCACTGACTCTATCATCTATAATTTGGATAATCACATCAACACCGTATTGATACTGCTAGATTTCTCGAAAGCCTTTGACATGGTCAATCACCAGATACTATTGAGTAAATTGTCTTACTATGGTATGTCAGATATAGTTGTAAAGTTCTTCGAGTCATACTTGCTTGATCGGCAACAAACTGTGAAAACTGAACAGGGCATGTCCACTACGAAGCCGGTTCCTTCAGGAGTTCCTCAGGGTTCTGTGCTTGGTCCCTTATTATATCTGATATACACTGCCGATTTGCAAGATTGTATAGTCCATTCAGCCATGCATACTTACGCGGATGATACTCAGTTGGTGTTTGCCTTTGATCCGTCAGAGGTTGACGAGGTTTCTTTCAAAATCAATTTGGACATGACTAACGTGAACGATTATTGCAAGAAACACTGTCTTAAAATAAATCCTAAGAAGACTACTGCTATGTTGTTTTGTTCGAAAAATTCCTATCCAGTTGTGAAGGAGAGAATTAATATTGTGTTGGATCAAACACTCATCCCTCTTGTTGACTATACTAAAAACCTCGGAATAACTCTCGACAAAAACATGAGGTTTGATCATCACGTTTCATATTTGTCGAGAGTAACGTATATGCGCTTGAAACTTCTACATTCAAGTCGACATATTTTAAATTTTAAAACCCGTAAAAAGCTTTGCGAAACTCTTGTATTGTCAATTATATCTTATTCTCTTGTCCTCTATTATCCATGTTTAGATTATAATAACAAATGTAAGCTTCAGAAAATTCAAAACAGCTGCTGTAGGTTTATATTTGGTCTCCGTAGGTTCAGTCACGTTTCGGATAAAATCAGAGAACTCAACTGGCTGAAAATTGATAAACTATTTTTATATCTATTGAACGTCTTAACTCATAAAGTTCTGCTAACAAACAGACCGGCCTATCTTTTTAGCAAATTGATACCTCGTGGTAACTTCGTACCAAGGACTCTTAGATTTAATATTAATTTTAATATGCCGCTCCACAACACTTTTATCTTTGAAAGGAGTTATACCTATAATGCTGTTAAACATTACAATGCTCTTAACCATTCGCATCGATCCAAGCCAGTTTTTTCTTTTAAGAAATTAATGAAAAATCAGTTGCTGGAGACAAGTTAGTTCTCTGTGTTTATATATGTATATGATTGTCTTTTCCTGATTGTTTTGTGTATCTGTCGTTCATTTAATGAAACTATGTTTTTTTTTTCTTAATTACTTTTTTTTTTTTTTTGTAACATGTGTATGTATTTTTCTTTCTTTTTTCTCTGCTTTGGGGTTAAGTGGAGGAGTAGCCGTCTGGCTAAACTTCGCCTCACTGCAGATAATAAAGGCATTATTATTATAAGTCTGTAGTTACAGGCCTATAGCTCTGCGTTCCATTATAGAGAAGGTAATAGAGAGGTACATAAATCGGAAGCTTCCAGAGTTCCTAAAAGGTTACTTCGCGCAGTATAAAGGAAATCATCCAATCTTCTGGTGAGGCTAAAGTCGTTGCTCGTAGTTGCGATCGTGGAAGCGTTCGAGCCGCTGTGGCATGCTGCCTTCTTATGCGAACCTCCATCCTATGGCCTATCAGAGAACCTGTGCAGATGAGTGGCTAACTTCCTCTCTGGCTGAAAGAAATTCGTCTTAATTGACAGGTTCTCCTCTTCGTGCGACAATATCAACGTGCGCGTTCTCCAGGAATCGGTCTTACCTCCAATATTATTCCTCTTATATATCAACGACCTCTTTTTCTGCAAGGTAGGTATGTTGAACTGTTTCCTGAATTCGCCCGCGCTCGCAACTTTGTTGTTGGGTAGGTATATTACTGAAAGCTCGTGCTAGTAATAAATCAAAACTTATTACGAGCAAAGAGAGTTTCGACCATATGAGTCATAAAGGTGGACAACCAAAGCTGTAAAACGGCTTCCATTTTTATGCGAGAAATATCGATTTTAGATCTTATTTATGTGGGTAGACTTCAAACCCATATAACCCAAATAATAAGGTGTCTTAGATATAACACAGAAAATTACAAAATCTGTAAAACTCACATCCTAAGCCGGAAGCCAACAGTCGAACTACATTTTTGTACACAGTCAGACTTGAAGTGAAAATTGTTTACCAGTATGGCCTTTTGTCTTGACTTTTTGATCACCATGCGGCGATTTTGTCTTGATGTAGATAATTTTCCTTATTCTCATTATATTAGGTGAGCGATGTACAGTGGTTCAAAAAAGTATTGGCGCGCCCATTTCCTCGAACCTCAATAATGAAAAGATGAATTTTTTGTTAGTACATGAATTTGAAAGCTAACACACTAAAAGAAAAAACAGACAAGTAAATAAGTTTCAACAAAATTTATTTGCAGCTAGTACTTTGTTATCACACTGTTTGAATCCATTACGGCCTGTAGCTATCGTGATGTGGAATTTTTAAGTTATTTCTGGTACAATCTGGTTTTATTTCTGCATTATACAGAAGTAGCTTCCGGTTCGCGGAAATTACAAATTTCGGGCCTCCAGGCCTAGCAAATGTTTAACGGGATTGATACTCAGGGACTGAAGGATTGTGCAGGTTCATTGCAAAGTAACCATTCCGTTTAGTGGCGTTGTGTTGATGACCATTATCCTAGTGAAAGATGTTGCATTGATTCGTTTTTTCAGCACTACTGTTAAAATTATTGCGCAAAATGTCAATATACTTGTCGGCAGTCACAACATGCAAACCTAGACTTAAATGCTTCCACCAACATGTTTTACTGTTGTGGTGATATGTCTCATTTCAAATTAGTAGTAAGTGCCAGGTTTTCTTAATACATATTTGCGACCATCATAGCCAAAATCTTGAAGATTAAAGTAAGTTCATGCATGTCGTGGATATGTGTTGGAAAGCTAAGCTTCATCGAAGGCAGTTTGAATGCAGACGAGTTTGTCGACATTCTGCGCTATAACTATATAACAGCATATCTGAAAAAATTGAGATCAGAGATACATTCATATTTCAGCAGGATAACGTTCCTCAGCAAACTGCTACTAAGTAAATAGTTACTTTGTAATGTTCATACACAACTCAAAACTCCACCGCAATCCGC